AAAGACGTTATTTTATGTGAAGTCTGCCAATTCGCACTTGCTAGCAAGGTGGAATTATGGCCTGAGCCCTCGTATTGAGGGAAAATTTGTGCTTAGGAGAAGGGCGTTGAAAAGGGCTGAATACAATGATTAAGATATAAAGTTCGCTGGTGTATGAAAATCTATTATTATTTTATCTGTATGATAACTTCATGGTATAATGTTACCGTTTCTTTTTCAATATCTTTTGACTCCACTTCTAATATCATATTATTATAACTTTTATTAATATGTAGCCTCTAGCATTACATGTATTATTTAAATGATAAGGTTATGCTTATAAAAAACAAGAAACTATTTTATTAATTTAGTTCATAATAACGCATGACGGTTTCTAAAACGCCATTTTAACATTGTTCCCAATTGATTTCAATAAGCAGCTATTACACTTGTGTGTAATACACTTAAATCTGAACGAATAAGTATTTCTGTAATACCTTTTTAATTACTATTAACATGAAAACTAAGCCATAAAGCCAAATAATAACTAAACAGTAAGTAATTTATTTATTTATTTAATTAGGATCACCAACATGATATATAGTATCTTAACAAAATACACAATTGTACAAAGGAGGTCTAAATCCAATTGTTATCATACTTATAGGTAACCACGACATGCATAAACAATTACACGGAGCATTTAAAAATATTATTTTAATTAATTAAATAGCATTTAAATAAATATTTTCATACTTTTGTCCGTTTAACTTTACTTTTTTGTAGAAAAAAATCATCATTTAGAAATGTAATTTATACAATGTCCGTGAATACTCAACGTGATTAAGCTGGCAATAAAGAAAATTCCTTCCCTTTTAAAAAAAGATTAAATGAAACAAAGTTTTTTTTAAAGATAGAAACGAGTTGAGTGGAGTTTTAAATTAGAAGCAGCTATACATACCTATGTTATTTGTATCACTTGGTAAATTAATTTTATTGAAAGCGTTTGTCTTGAGGTTACAATGTTTTAAGGTTATAATAGTGGCAATTAACTCTGATGCGGTTGGCTCTGACTGCATTAGTCGTAAAATGATCGTTCCTTTATTAGATATATTGATCCCTGTCATAACTTCCATGCTTAATTTTTCTATTAATACTGGCTGCTTTCCATCCGCATGGAAAGATGCTCAAGTAATAATGAAATGAAATGAAATGAAATATTCTTTATTGCACACCATTATTTTACATTATATAGTTGAAACTGATTAAAGGAATATAGTACAATAGGCGGCCTTATCGCTAGAGAGCGATCTATTCTAGGCAACCTTTGGGTAGAGAGAAAGAAGAGAGAAGGAAGGGGTGCAAACAATCTTAAAGAGAGATACAATAAATACATACATATACAAACAGATATATACATATATACCATATATATACATACATACATACATACACACATATATACATTATACATATAAGATAAAATATGACACCATTTAGCACTTATAAGTTAACATAATATTCATTTATTAATTTTTTAAATTGTGACAGCGAATCAGCCTGTTTTACTTTATTTGGTAACGAGTTCCACAGACGGACAGATTGGACAGTAAAGGAGCGAGTATAGAAGGAAGAAGAGTGTGAAGGAACTTGTAAAGTTAGATTAAGGTTAGAACGAAGAGAAAAATGGTGAGAATCACTTAAAAATTTAAACCTATCTTTAAGATACTGAGGTGTACAGGGATTAAATAGAATATTATATAAAAGACAAAGAACGTGAGTATTTCTGCGAAGACGGATAGGGAGCCACTTGAGCTTTTTACGAAATTCGGAAACGTGGTCATATTTACGAAGTCCAAATATGAACCGAATGCAGAGATTTTGAATTCGCTCAAGTTTATTTAATTGTTCCTCTCTTAAATCGAGGTAACAAGTATCAGCATAGTCAAGAATGGGTAATAAAAGAGTGTTAGCCAAGGCAATTTTAGTGGGAATGGGTAGAAAGTTGCGTAAGCGACGTAATGATGCAACGGCAGCAAACATTTTTCTGCTCACTTCGCCCACCTGTGACTTCCAAGATAATGTCTCGTCCAATATAATACCTAGATTTCTCACTTTATCGCTGTAAGGAATTTGTATACCGTCAAGCATAATAGGTGGTAATTGTGATAAAGATATTTTTGATTTTAATTTTGAACTACCTATAATTATAGCTTGTGTTTTACCTGGATTCACTATTAAGCCTAATGATTTACTTTTTTGCGAAATATTAAGTAGGTCAGTATTAATATGATCGATGGTTTGAGTTAAGTTTAATACGGTCGTTTGGCGGTAGATTTGTAGATCATCTGCATAGAGGTGGTAGGGAGAAAAAATATAGTTACAGAGAGAGTTAATAAATATAGAAAATAAAAGAGGAGACAACACGCCACCTTGAGGAACACCGGCATGTAGCGAAATCCATTCAGAGCAAGAATCGTGAATACGGATTCGTTGCCGGCGACCATACAAGTAATTGTGAAACCAGTCAATCACATCTGGAGATATGTTAAGAGAACACAATGTAGCAAGAAGAATATCAAAATCAACAGTGTTAAAAGCGTTACTAAAATCTAATAGTGTCAAAACTGTGACTTGTTGATTTTCCATTCCTAGTCTGATGTCATCTGTTATTTTAATGAGTGCAGTAGTCGTGCTGTGACCATAACGAAAGCCGGATTGCATAGGATTCAGTAGATTATGATTTGAAAGGAAATTACTTAGTTGATGATGTACAAGGCGCTCGAGCACTTTGGATAAAAAGGGTAGAATGGAAATAGGACGATAGTCGGAGAGAGTAGTGGGATTGTTTTTTTTTGGTAAAGGTATTACTTGAGCATCTTTCCATGCGGATGGAAAACAGCCAGTATTAATAGAAAAATTAAGCATGGAAGTTATGACAGGGATCAATATATCTAATAAAGGAACGATCATTTTACGACTAATGCAGTCAGAGCCAACCGCATCAGAGTTAATTGCCACTATGTGTTTCCGAACATCACATTCTGTAAATTGACTAAATTTAAAAATGGGAGAATCAGGAGTGGCCAAAGCGAGAATTTGATTTTTAGTTCTTAATTTAGTTGTACTATCAATTGTACTGAACGATGAGAAATGTTTGTTTAATTGATTTAGATCTATATTTTTGGAGGTTATATTTTGTTTTGCCTTTCCAACTCCAAGAGATTTAAGAAAGTTCCAGACTTTTACTGTATTGTCTTCTTCGACAACAGATTTATGAATATGGCGTCGTTGACTATCCCTACACACCCTATTGCAATGATTTCTAGCTTTAACATATTTTTGCCGATTGATATCACTTGCATTAGTTTTTAATTTAGCTTTAGCAATGTTTTTCTTTTCTTGAAGCTTTTTAATGTCTACAGTAAGCCAGGGTGCAGGAAGATGTTTAGTACGTACAGGTCTAATAGGCGCATGAATATCATATAATTGTGTCAATAGCGAATTAAATGTATCAATCTGGTTGTCCATAGTCTCTGCATTTAAAACCTCAGTCCAATCAATATTTAAAGCATCTTCGCGCAAACGATCTAGGTCCATTCCCGCAAAATTACGTTGGAGAAGGATTCTTGATTTTGCTTTAGGAGGTTTAAGTTTATAAGAGAGAAAAATAAGATCGTGGTAAGAGAATGCAGTAGCATTGCATTGACCATGTTTATCAACGTGGTCAATGGAAGAAACTAAAATTAAATCTAAAAGGGATGGATTGCAATTAGGGAAAAAGTGAGTCGCAGTTAAAGGAAGTACATGGAAGTTGGCTGATTCTATTAGTGCTTTAAGTCGTGCTGATCGATGATCATTTTTAAGCATACATGTATTAAGATCACCCATGATAACAGTATGGCTGTACAATGGAGTTAATTCCTCCAATAGGACCTCAAGTGACTCGAAATAATCTATAGTTAACGATGGACTGTAATAGACGCCAAGTAGGACTTTAGTGTGAGATAGGATGACTTCAAGAAAAAGATACTCCGGGCCAGTATTATTGGTAAGGTGCGATTGTTTCACAATGTTATAGGATATGTGAGAGCGTAAATAAACGGCAACACCACCGCCAGTCCGACCCGTGCGATCATTTCGAATCAATTGAAATCCTGGTAAAGAGTATGCAGTAGACGGAAGACAAGGTTTAAACCAGGTTTCCGATACTAAGATGGCATGAACATTGACATTTTCAAAAGTTGATAAGAAATCAGGATAATGTGCAGGAATACTCTGAGCATTGATGTGAACGACGTTAAAATTCTTCTGGACTGTAGGGAAATAATAATTAAGAGACTCATTCAAAGATGGGATACTGTGGAAGCTATTATCGCTACTTTGGTCGTTGAAAGAAGATACGGAAAGATCAGTGTCATCATAAATATTGTTAAACATTTAATAAAAAAAAAAATGTGTGTATATAAAAAGTATTAAGTAATAAAATAAATAACAAATACAATAAAAAATAAAATAATAATAACAAATAGATATATATACGTAAGTATTTAAGACAATATATATATTAAAAAAAATAAATAAAAAAAAATTATCATCACCCACCTGCCAGTTGCATAAAAGTATTTGTATATAATTTATCGCTAAACTATATTTATATTTAGTAAACAAAATGAGCACAATAAAACAAAAAGTTATCATTATAAATACCTAAGTTAAGTAAGTACAATAATTAACATACTAATTTTACCCAATAAGTACACAAAATATTATAACAAATTAAAAAAAAAAAACCGTATTTATCCTTTACCTTGAGCAAAAAGCCACGCATCAAACTAACATTTAACGTTGCATACAATAATTTAATCTGTAGACTATTTATACAATAGATTATCTGCAAATGTAATCAGTCATGGGTAAAATATATGGTCTTATTATAATAATTTAGAAGTAATTATGTTTTAAATGAAAAGAAAAGAAACAGTATTAAACAATTTAAATTTTAAAGAAAAGGCTTTCTACTTCTTCACAATTCTTTTGGATCGCGGCGCAAGTACTTTTTCACCTGGCTTGTTGACGGTAACAACAACAACTTGTGAAGGAGACTTAGATGTTGTTATAATGTCTAACTCAGTCAAGCACTCAACTCGATGGCGAGATCCATTTGGAGCTATAATATTGACACATCCATCCCACGTCCAGCACTTACCGATGCCAAAGCGCTGCCGTGCCTCCATAAATAGTGTATGTCGTGATTTGATTAAAAACTCCGATTGTGTGACACCTGTTCCTTTTAATTTAGTTTTTAAAAACCAAACCTTATCACGAACTGCAGCATCCATGAATTTGATGACTACGGGTCTAGGTCTCTTATCTGTTGGTCGACCTAGACGGTACAGTGACTTAATGCTCGTACTAGAGAAATTCGGTAAATCCAAATGCCGAGAAACTAGTTCGGTGACTTTTAATAAAATGTCTTCCGACTTCTCTTCAGTGATGCCATGGAAAAGTAACGTTTTTCGTCTCCTACGCATTTCTTGACGATCAATCTCGAGACTAAGTAATTCGACTTGTCGTTGCAAGGTGTTGAGTGCTGATAGAATGAAGCTTTTAAAAGTATTGAAATCAGCTGCCAAGGAAGTCGTAGTCACTGGAGTGGTGTTTTTATGGAGTTCTTGCTAGAATTCACTCATCTTAACATTAAACATCTCAGTCATTGCAGAAAGAGATTCCTTGATGGTTTCCATGCTCATTGTTTACTTAATTAATGTTGAAATGTGAACGAATCAAAGGAGTTCAACTTGCTGGCGGGTAACAAAGTTTAGTCAAACATATGGTTTGTAAAAAACACCAATAAAAATATTTTTAACTATTTTTAAATAAAATTTTTGCTGAGGGATAAAAAATCGCTGTTTACTTTTCACCTCCTACCCACGAAAAAAATCAATCCAAATGGTAATACCTTTACCAAAAAAAAAACAATCCCACTACTTTCTCCGACTATCGTCCTATTTCCATTCTACCCAATTTATCCAAAGTGCTTGAGCGCCTTGTACATCATCAACTAAGCAATTTACTTTCAAATCATAATCTACTGAATCCTATGCAATCCGGCTTTCGTTATGGTCACAGCACGACTACTGCACTCGTTAAAATAACAGATGACATCAGACTAGGAATGGAAAATCAACAAGTCACAGTTTTGACACTATTAGATTTTAGTAACGCTTTTAACACTGTTGATTTTGATATTCTGCTTGCTACATTGTGTTCTCTTAACATATCTCCAGATGTGATTGACTGGTTTTACAATTACTTGTATGGTCGCCGGCAACGAATCCGTATTCACGATTCTTGCTCTAAATGGATTTCGCTACATGCCGGTGTTCCTCAAGGTGGCGTGTTGTCTCCTCTTTTATTTTCTATATTTGTTAACTCTCTCTGTAACTATATTTCTTCTCCCTACCACCTCTATGCAGATGATCTACAAATCTACCGCCAAACGACCGTATTAAACTTAACTCAAACCATCGATCATATTAATACTGACCTACTTAATATTTCGCAAAAAAGTAAATCATTAGGCTTAATAGTGAATCCAGGTAAAACACAAGCTATAATTATAGGTAGTTCAAAATTAAAATCAAAAATATCCTTATCACAATTACCACCTATTATGCTTGACGGTATACAAATTCCTTACAGCGATAAAGTGAGAAATCTAGGTATTATATTAGACGAGACATTATCTTGGAAGTCACAGGTGGGCGAAGTGAGCAGAAAAATGTTTGCTGCCGTTGCATCATTACGTCGCTTACGCAACTTTCTACCCATTCCCACTAAAATTGCCTTGGCTAACACTCTTTTATTACCAATTCTTGACTATGCTGATACTTGTTACCTCGATTTAAGAGAGGAACAATTAAATAAACTTGAGCGAATTCAAAATCTCTGCATTCGGTTCATATTTGGACTTCGTAAATATGACCACGTTTCCGAATTTCGTAAAAAGCTCAAGTGGCTCCCTATCCGTCTTCGCAGAAATACACACGTTCTTTGTCTTTTATATAATATTCTATTTAATCCCTGTACACCTCAGTATCTTAAAGATAGGTTTAAATTTTTAAGTGATTCTCACCATTTTTCTCTTCGTTCTAACCTTAATCTAACTTTACAAGTTCCTTCACACTCTTCTTCCTTCTATACTCGCTCCTTTACTGTCCAATCTGTCCGTCTGTGGAACTCGTTACCAAATAAAGTAAAACAGGCTGATTCGCTGTCACAATTTAAAAAATTAATAAATGAATATTATGTTAACTTATAAGTGCTTAAATGGTGTCATATTTTATTTTATATGTATAATGTTTATATGTGTGTATGTATGTATATATGTATGTATGTATGTATGTATGTATGTATGTATGTATGTATGTATGTATGTATGTATGTGTGTATGTATGTATGTATGTATGTATGTATATATATGGTATGTATGTATATATCTGTTTGTATATGTATGTATTTATTGTTTCTCTCTTTAAGATTGTTTGCACCCCTTCCTTCTCTCTTCTTTCTCTCTACCCAAAGGTTGCCTAGAATAGATCGCTCTCTAGCGCTGCCGCCTAAGGCATAAGGCCGCCTATTGTACTATATTCCTTTAATCTGTTTCAACTATATAATGTAAAATAATGGTGTGCAATAAAGAATATTTCATTCATTTCATTCATTCATATTTCATTCATTATAATTAATTACGGATATATTTCCATCTACATATTTTCCAATTCATTAAGTCATCATCTTGAACCAATATTTGATACTGTAAAGAGATAATTGATTAACAGATTGATTAGCATTTCCTATGAAAAATAAATAAAACACCAACTTACTCCATATATTATATTCTAATATAAAAATATATGTCTCTCTTCTATATTGCTTTAGATAACAACTTGATTGTTATTAGCCCGTTCCGATTATAAAATCTTAATTTTCTTTTGTTGTCGCAAAGGTATTAGTACTTCTGACAACGAGCAGATTTTATTGCGGCTTGATTCTTGTACCACTTCTAAATCAAAGAAGGCTCTTTGAATGCTTCTGAGTTTGCCGAATAATATTACTTTCCTGGGGACTTAACAAGATGTCAATAAATCGTAATAGAAGAAATAAAATATAAAAATAGTTATATATTGGTATATATATGGGAATGAAATATGTATGACGTAATGATTAAAGTCATTTCAATACAATTTTGAAAATTTCTGTTCTTTAGCGATCGTAGAAAATGGTAGAAAGTGGATGGTAGAAAGATTTTCTTCATTTTAAGTACCAGGTGAAGTGAACAGACTGACATGACCTTAAGCCACAGAACAAAGAATTCACTTAAAGATTCTCCATCCTATATTTTAGATATTTTTCACTGGTCAAAATCTTAGGCGACGCTTGTATCTATTTCTATTAGCAATTAAGTTATATATGTCGATGTATTCGTACTAGTTTTAACCCCTTTTTTTTTTTTTTTTTTTTAATGTTGGGAAATGCATTTACGCACGACGTGTGGGACTCACCGGCGTAATACAGCCAGTACTACCCACTAAAACCCAACAAAACCTTCCCCCGTCTTAATGGGGCGTCGCAGGATCGCTTGCGCATTCAACTACGACGCCCCGACGGCAGGTCTGCCGAAGCAGACCACCACAACCATGGGGTTGCTCCACAGTCCACTCTGCTATCAGAGAAGTACCAGGAGCAACCCGCATGGTACACCGCCCCCCAAAGAGGGCCACCTCCCACCGCCCACCGAAGTGGGCAACCTCCCTGTGCGTTTCTTAGCTTCGCGCCCGGTTGGATTGCCGGGCACTACTGAGCCCCCCCACCACGACAAGGTGAACGCACGTTGGGGGGGTCTAGTTTTAACCCCTGACGCAAAAAGAGGAGTGTTATAAGTTTGACGTCGATGTCTGTCTGTCTGTGTGTGTGTGTCTCCCAAACGGATGGGCCGATTTCGATGCGGTTTTTTTCATTTGAAAGCCAGTTTCCTTTTAGCTAAGTTTGGTAAATATCGGTCCAGCAGTGTAAGAGTATCAGCTCTTTTCCAAAATGATATAAGGCATTTTGTCGTATGATTACTCGATTAAGTGCTTCACGCGTGCCAGTGTAATCGTTAAATGACAATTAATTGGCGTAGGTTTTTTTTTTAAATTTTAGTTTATAATTACATAAATCTGCTACGTGTAGCTTAGAATCATATTTGTACAATATAATAAAAAATTTTGGAAATCTAACAGTTTGCTACTGCGGGAGTTGTCTCTATGGGTCTTGTTTTTGATGTGAGTACATAGCCATATATTATTATTAATACCTGGAAAGAATACTATTGCTAATAAATGAATACGATCATAATAAAAATCTCTGTAAAATTTGAATAAGTACGAGTATCTATAAAATAAAATATTCCTGTTTGTGCTACGAATGTTTAAGTATCTAAATAGATATTGGTATTAACGTTTTTGGCGTAGTTCCAGCTGTTTCAATATATTATATGCAATTTGTGCGAAAGACGAAATTCAAACGAAATAATTATTTTTCTTAAGTATACCCATGTAGTTTCAAATACGTGTGTTGTTTTTAGTTTGTTTTCTAAATTTCCCAGTTCAACTTATATACACATGTACATACGAGCTCCATGTTATGGCTTATTACTTAAACAACTAATAAACTCAAAGAATCACTTATAATGTAGTGAAAGTACAAAAGAAGTTGTAGACAATGATTAAATATATTTTAAATATATGAAATGTATACAATACTAGCATTGCCCGCGGCTCCGCCCGCGTTTGATGACTAAAAACTAAATTCTTAGGTTTTACATATTAGTATACTCTTACAATGCAGATTTTGTATTTTTTCTTAGAAATGAGATATTTTCCCGCGGTAAAAAGTATCCTATATGTTGACCCGGATAGCCAGCTATCATACCAAATTTCATCAAAATCTGTCCAGTGGTTTTCTCGTGATGCGGTAACAGACAGACAGACAAAAATTCTAAAAAGTATAGATTCGGACTCTGTATCGATAATAATGTCTATTTCAATTAGATTTTTCAAAAAATATTTAATGTACAGATTCGACTTAGTTACAATTTTATTATAGATTTAGAATAGATATAGATTTTTTTTTCGTTTAAATAAATATTTAAATAATGAAATCTATTTTGTATTTATTTTTATAATCTATTTTTTCCAGCCCTCATGCTCTGCCACAGTTAATGCCGATTTCTGATTTCATTTTGTTATTTCAATTTTTGTTATCAATTTAGTTAAACAAAGTTAGATTATTACAATCTAGGAAAAACATTCCTTATAATTTAATATAATAAATTCGTGTAAATATTCGTTTTAAGTATTAACATGATCGAAGTATCCAATATTTATATTCGTCGTCGTCGTCGTTTCGTTTGTTTATATCTTTTAATTTTAAAGGAGTTTTTTTAATTTAAATATCGATTTTCTTTTTTATTAAAAATAATGTACTAAATAAATGTTTATTTGTTAAAAAGGATTTAAAAAAAATGAACGTTAATTTTGTTTATTTCATAAATTTATTAAATGTATCAAAACAAATCTCTTGACATAGCGAGTGAAGTGTGATTAGTGTGTTTTTACATTGACATAGATAA